GAATGTGGTGTGTGTGTGTGTGTGTGTGTGTGTGTGTGTGTGTGTGTGTGTGTGTGTGTGTGTGTGTGTAAAGAGAAGTAGTAGGACGTTTGGCGAAGTTGTGTGTGCGTTTGCTTGATTGAGAAGATGGGTGAGGCGAGTTGCGCGTGCCGATGCCTGCAGAAGGTCGACAGGTGAGTTCACGAGCCTCTTTCCCGGCCAAGGCGCTGTACTCTGGCATTTCACTCTTCTCTCATCTCCACCCATACTGGAGTGCTCTAATTTTATTCTGCTCTTGGTCCCCTTTTCCACAAAGAAACCACGTTTATATTGTTGAGGCTTCTGTTTGCTTCAAGTAGTTTTGGTACAACGATCAGCTGCGAAATGGAACAATAGGGCGATGTAGACATTCGGTTTGATAATTGGTTCGATCTCGGTTTGTCTGTGAGTGTGAGGGGATAGAAAAGGAAGCAATCTAGGGCACAACGAGAAACGGTTGAAAGGGAAAGTGTAAGAGGTGAACCCAGTCAGGCCTGAGGTACGTTACTGGGGTATTATCGATGGTGTGTGGTGGGGAGCCAGAACCTTTGTTGATCTGTTTGTCCATGAGTACCTTTCCCTTTGACCAGATGCCCATTTCATAATGAGCTCAAGACTGGCTTTTACTGTAAAAACAGCGCAGATAGAAACTAATATAGGAGTGTAAGAGGAGCAATATGTGGCCATCAGAATAGTATTCTTATTGTGTATAAAAAAGTTACTGCTGATTAGTCAAATGGAATGGATGGTGGTGGTAATAGGGCAAACTGAAAGGTCCTGTATTTAGATTCTCTACTTCTACTATTCTTGTCTCTTTGGTCTACTCTTTCCCTATATGAAATGGCAGTTTCAGAGACAATGTGCTTTTGTTTACTCATAGAAAGGTCGATGTGGTTGGTGGGCTTGTTGGTCTGTGGGGTTGGTTGTTTAAAAAAAATATTTATCCCGTCTTATTGATTGTTTGCTGTTGAGTTTTGAAGCCTCCAACAACAGAAAAAAGTAGACATACTCTTATCCAAAACAAAACAAAGCCAAGAACACAAAAAAGACAGGCACACGGTGTCACACACACCCAAAACTACAGAACAAAACTAGAGACCCCCCAACCCCCCCC